CCCCCGGGGATGCCCCCCTCATGTGCTACCCTGGGCACGGGCCGCTCAAGGGCAGCACCCATCCCCCCAGCTGCGGGGGCCTCGATCCTGGCTATGGGCCGGGGTCCGAAGGCCTCAAAGACAGCCCGTGGGGGCTGGGGGCGCCGGGTGGCTCCAGCCTGGACTCGCTGGACCTGGAGAACACGCAGCTGGACTTCACCGCCATCCTGGACGAGGCTGAGCCCGGTGGGCTGCTGCCCCCCCCCAGCCCTCCTGGCGCCCCCAACATGGCAGTGGGTGACATGAGCTCTATGCTGAGCTCGCTGGCCGGGGAGAGCCAGTTCCTCAACTCCCTGTCGTGAGCCGGTCGCTGGGAGCGGAGAGAAGCCAAAGAAAAGGAAGGGAAAAGGCCAAACCCGGTGCCCGTGGCCAGGCTTCGCCCAGCCCCTGCCGCTCCTGGCGCTGTACATAGGGCGCTCGCCTGCTGGCTTTGCCGGGCACCATTAAACGAAAAAGATTTCCTCAGGGAAGCCCCATGGCTGCGTGTGCCTTATGATCCTGTCAGCTCAGGGGGGGAAATTGAGGCACAGGAGTGCAGGGCCGGGGGTGGGATGTGGTTAGGCTGAGGGCAAGGGGAGAATGGACCCAGGAATTTGGGGTCCCAGCCCCCTCTCCTCGGCTGCACCTAGCTCATAGCTGCCAGCTGATGGGTCCCGCAGGTGCCCACTGCCCCCGGGGGAGCAGAGGTTAGTCACCAGGCCATGTGTGGGGGGGCCTCTGGGGCCTGGGGGAGTCTCTCAGGGCCTCTGCTGGGCAGGATCCAGACTGAGCTGGGAGCTCAGGTGCCTGGTTCTCTCCCCAGCCCTGGGAAGGGAAGGGAAGGGAAGGGAAAGGGATGCTGCGGTTGGTCCTGCTGATGCCCCTCACTCGCAACCCGCAGCCCCTTGCCCCTCCTGCCCCCCCCAGTGCCCCCCACTCCCGACCCACATCCCCCTACTCCTGCTGCCCCTCACTCTCAGCCCGCAGCCCTGCAGGTGCCCCTTACTCCCGACCCACAGCCCCCGGTGCCCCTCACTCCCGACCCGCAGCCCTCACCCTTGCTGGTGTCCTTGTTGGTGACTCCGTTCTTGGTTCACGGTTTGATCCCTGCCCCCTGTGCTTCTGCCCCACCACCAGTCTGGGGGCGGCTTGTGGGGAGGTGGGGGCAGTCAGAGCCCTTCCCACCCCCTGGGCTGGAAACTCCAGGGCACGGAGCTGAACAGGGAGAGAAGCCAGGTGACTGGGCTCCCAGCTGCCCTGCGCCCCCCCACCCTTTCCCCAACTGGGCAGTGGCGATTAACCTTGTCATGCACCCATCTGACAGAGGGGGAAACTGAGGCACAGATCCTGGCAGCACCCAGGGAGGCAGATGGGACCCGGGTGTCCCGCCCCCGCCTACAAGGCCATGACATTAGGGGTGGAAGTGGGGCAAAGAGCCACTTGGGGATGGCACAGAAGCAGTGGAGCCCCCGGCCAAGCCACAGGGGACGGGGCAGTGGGGTAGAGCAGAGGAACTGGGAGCCCGGATGCCTGGGTTCACCCTTGGGTTTGGGGGTGGGGGTCACCAGTGGGTACCAGCGCCTGGCGTGTGCAAGGTGGGGGTGTTACATGCATGTACATGTGTGCACATGTGTGTGCATCCATGTGAATGCATGTCAGACCTTCCTCCCCCCATCTTGCTCGGACTTTCCTGGCTGCGGGGTGGGAGCCCTGCTGGAAACTCCCAGGGATGGTGGAGGGTGGGGGGTTCCCTCCTGGGGCAGACCCAGGCCCTGGCCCGCTGCGGCCTTGGGATCCCCCCACACCACCCAACACTGACCCACAGCTGGGGAAACTGAGGCACAGAAGGGAACATGGCTCAGCCAGCCTCGGGTTTGGGGCGGGGGTGGGGAGAACCCAGGAATCCTGCTACCTCCCACCCCCTCTACACTTCACCCAGAGCCAGGCAGAGAACCCAGGTGTCTGGCCTGCCAGTACCCTGGTGGAAGCTGGCACTGTGCCCACCCCATGAGCCCCTCCTGGACTGGGCACACTCTGTGCAAGGCCACAGAGGTGGCATGGCTGGGGGGGGTGGGGGGAGGGCAGGCACCTGATTGATGGGCTGTACTGCTGACCCAGGCAGGTGGTGGTGGTTCATACCGGCCGAGCCCTGGCACTGCTGGCTGGCCTGCCAGTACCCTGGTGGAAGCTGGCACTGTGCCCACCCCATGAGCCCCTCCTGGACTGGGCACACTCTGTGCAAGGCCACAGAGGTGGCATGGCTGGGGGGGGTGGGGGGAGGGCAGGCACCTGATTGATGGGCTGTACTGCTGACCCAGGCAGGTGGTGGTGGTTCATACCGGCCGAGCCCTGGCACTGCTGGGCAGGGTGCTGCAGGTCGGGAGTGAGGGGCACCACAGGGCTGGGTGGGTAGGGGCTGTGGGTGGGGAGTGAGGGGCACCTGCAGAGCTGGGGCGGGG